GAAAGAAGGGAAATAGGTTCTAAGAAAGGCTTGATGGAATACGGCCAAATGGAAAAAGTAAGTGTGCTGCTCCCTACTCCGATGCAATAGGCTGTGGAGCCTTGGTTGTTAATTGCAACTAAAGACGAGTCATCGAATTCATTTCCCAAGCAATTCTTCCGTTGGAACTGCTCACTCTTTACAAGGCCTGTCCTTTTTTGGGATGAGGGGAGAGACGGCAGACAGGAGAGGAAAGAAGTTCACCACTATATATACCAGAAAATTACATTTGCTCTGACTTACGCTTTGATTCGTTAACAGTGTACATTTATAGATGTGTGTGTGAGAGAGATCAATATTAAGCTGCTGATGAGAAAATATTAGATACAGAATGCGTTTCAAATCTGAGACTACTGGATGCCCTCTGTCTTCTGAAGGTAATCACTGAGATTGAGTGAGGTGGAAATACAGTTAGGGCTTCATGTGTTTAGGAAAGAGGCCCGAAGTGGACGTGGGCAGTCCTTCAAATCCAATTTGTACCCAAATTGGCCAGTAGGATATACAAAGCTCCATCCAGGGACTTTCAAGTTGCACAATACTCTGTCCAAGAACCCCCTCCCCCTCCATTTCATCTAGTAGCAGTTCTAAAAAGAAGCTATTGCTGCGACAAATGTGGGCTGCTGAGTAAACAGTGCATGTTTTGTTGAACAAGCCTACCCCCACACCTATGTGCCCGCACTCTATCTCACCACAAAGTCCAATTAAAATTAACAGGAATTCAAACTCACTTCCCCCCAAAGTGCAAATGACCTTTTTCATTAGGGAGAATAGATCTTTAATATGATTATATTAAACTATCATCTATTTCTACACAAATATCCTATTTTGGGAGACTTGCATTTATGCAATCCTTAATATAACACATTCTTAATTTGCATGCAAAACATTTACCAGTCCATATAAGCTCCTGGTACAAAAAAGCAGATCATTATAGCTCTCATCAGCAGACCTTAGTTTTTGCTATTTGAAAGTAAACAGAAGAAAAACTTATTTTCACCTGCTAAAATTTTATGCAGGGTTACAAAACAATGCACACTCATCTTTGACCTAAGAAACACCTTAAAACATTAAAAATTCATCAGTCAGTGCTGGTGTTGTGTTCAAGGAACGCTCCTCCAGTTTGCTGCTGAGCTTGGATTTGAATAAAATGCCCAATGTTAACAAACAATACCCACGTTTGGCACTTTGTGTATTAAATTGATCAAACAGATTTTAGGAGGCACAATGCACAATTTGTACAGACCTGATTGAGTTAATATAATATCAGCAAATTTTACATCGAAATGATTCTGTTTCTTTTCTTTGTGTTTAAAACCAGCACAGATTACAAATTTTAATGATCTGAAAATGTTTGGTATACAAAATCATGCTTATTTCAGTATTAGCAAAAACACAAGAAATTTTTCAACACAAACACCCAGCTGTGTCTATTTTAAAAGCAGTTCAATGACAGCTTGCACTTATGAGCATGCAATCAGCTAATTTCGCTTTTTTTTTCTTCTGTGTTAATCAACACTTTCCTTCCTGCATATCAGAGTACAAATAGTATAGTTACTCCACATCAGTAAATGTTTACGTAACCTGTCCTTTCCCAAGAATCCGGTTACACCGAATCATTTCACGCTAGACCGACTACGAAAACGTACCGGGCCGTCCACCTCAGAGGGAGCCCTTGTGTGCCATTATAAGTGGCGGTGGGAAGGGGGGCTGTGGGGGGCAGAAATGGGGAGGAGTAGGTGGAGGAATAGAGTGAGGGAGAGGAATAGAGGGAGGAGAAGGGGTGGGGGAGCGAGGGGGAGGCAGGAGGAAGAGGGGAGGAGGGAGGAAAGCGAGTTGAGGAAAAGTAGGAATAACAGGCCTGAGGAGGGGAGAAGAGTGGGAGGAAAAGTGAACAGGAATAGGAAGGGCCCTGCATCTCCCCAGCCTCGTCCGTAAAGCCCATCAGCTTACCCTGCTCTGTAAGAAATGCGGAGCTCAGGCTATGTTGGGGGCCATGTCACTATCAACGTTGATAGCTGAAACCCTTGAATGTTCCTACATGTAAATATAGTTTGTTTTAAAGTAAGAAAATATGTAGAAATGGGGGGGGAATACATACAGTGGAATGACAGTTGAGGTTGGGCCAATGTTCAAAGCTCCTTGATGGAATTCCTAACAGAAACATTTAAAAATCACTAGCTATGTGTAGTCTGTTTTTCTCTTCAGAGTTTATTCTCCCTCAGGATTTCAAGGTAGGGGTAAGGGATTCCTAATAACCCGAGTATTCCTCATTCGCATTCTTTATATTAGAATTGAAATTTAATATCACACAAAGGCACCAGTTTTTCTTCCTTCGTTTCCTTAAATACCAAGTTTGCTAGATAATTGAACTGAGTTTATCAAAGGGAAGAGATTTTTGCATTTTAGGGTTATTTACCTTACAGAGGAGGAAAAAGGTGCTTTTCATTTATGCTTCTCCTCCACCTCCCTCTTCTCTCGGGGTACATCCTCCGTAATGTGGTCTGTTTCGTGCCCATGTGGGATGAAACAGCCTTTGATCAGTGTGCTCCGCACCAAATTCCAATCCCTGGGAAATGCTGGGCCTTAGCCCTGCCCCTGGCCACGGGATCCTTTTAAAGCCCCCGAATCACAATCTCCCCACTCACTTCAGCTCTCAAACGAACCTTCCCAGTCCTAAAGCCCAGGAAGCTGAGACAGTGGGACCCACGTTCCTGCAGCATTCAGGGTGGGAAAGGGCCGGCTTCAGGATGCGGCGATTTCAGCATTAAGGCCCGCACAAATTAAAAGCATTTCAGAAACGGAAAGGGAAAAAAAAAAAAGGAGGGGGGGGAGAGATGAGAATAGGAAGGCTTTAAAAAACCGGAAAGAAATAGACGCCCACCCTTATTTTCCCTCCAATGTCAACAAGCAAAACGAAAACATTTCCAGGGTGACCGCTCGCGGCTACTCGCTTCCAATTCGGATTAGAAACCGAGGAGACGCTGGAGCGGCGAGGAGGAAAAACGACAACGAGTCCCCCAGCGCGTGAGCGACGACGGCCCGGAGCAGGAGACAAGGGGAAGGAAGACACACACATAGAGAGCATGTGTTACCTGGTTTATTTCGAGACTGTTTGGTACTGTTTTCTGAGTACCCCTCCTTTCGGAAGGCCATCATAGGCGCCCACCACTAAGCCGCCCCCGCCCGCCGCCGCCGCCGCAGCGCCGCGAGCCCCAGGCCCGGCTTCCCGGCGGCGCCCGAGCCCCGAGCTCGCCGCCGCCCAGGCCGCAGGAACCGAGTAAGTAACCCCTGCTTGGCCCCGCGCTCGCCACCCACTTCCTCCTCCTCGCCCCGTCGTTTCCAGGCCTCTCCCAGACCCTCCGCCCCCAAGGTGCAGGGCACCCCTCCCCACGCCAGGGGTGGGCCTTCCCTCCGTCTCCCGCCGGCGCCTCGCTGCAGTTACCTACGAGGGGCACCGTGTTCCCACGGGCTCCGCAAGGCCGGCCCCGGCCTGCAGGGCCGGCTCGGGGAGGTGGTGCCTCGCCTCTTCCTCCATTTCCTGCCCTCTCCTTGCACTCCCACTCTCCTCTCCTCCACCGCCGCCGCCGCCCCCGCTTTTAAAAATAAAAATTGGATACAAACTTTAATCAATAAGGACAAGTACTGACGCTCAAACGAAAATGACCCAGCACAGGCAGAGGGGAGGCGGAAATGCGAGCTATGTGCCCTAAGAGGGGGGATTTCGGGTGAGCAGCCCCGCGGGCTGGAGGGGGCGCAGCCAAGGCCGCGGCGCAGCGTGTTCCCGCCGGCGTATCCCTACGCGGCTCCGCGCGGCCGCGAGGCCGAGACCCGCGGAGAGGGGGCGGCGAGCACCCGAGGGGGCGGGAGCCG